AGATTTTAAAACATTCGAATTAGATCTTGAAGAAATGTGTCCAGTTGTAAAAGATTATGTTGATGATACTACTAAAAAACGATTGGAAAAAATTGAATGGGTAATTGATATTGAATTTGAAGATGTTAAAGGAATGTTTGATCCTATAATTGGCAGGATTATTCGTTTAATACGCGGTCAGTTGGACAAGTGTAATAATTGTGCTGCAATGTTTTTGGTAGGTGGATTTAGCGAATCCAAATACCTGCGAAAAAGGATTAAAAAAGAATTTAAAAAAATACCTGTTATTGCGAGTCCTGACAAACCTATTGCAGCTATTGTTCGAGGTGCCGTATCCTATGGTCTCGATATGACTATAGTAAAATCACGTGTATTGAGATATACATATGGTATTATGTCCTTACCTGATTGGAAGCCTGGTGATCCAAAGGACCGAAAAACTCCAGATGGAAAAATTTATCGCTTTCATACTTTAATACAACGTGGAAAGGAAGTGAATGTTAATGAAGAAGTTTCCGATCTTCTTCGTGTTGCATATCCAGATCAGAGAGATATGCGTATGGATATATATGTTACACGTAGTTATAATGCAAAATACTGTGATGAACCTGGTGTTGAATTACTTGGAAAATTCACAATTAATATGCCTGATATTCATCTTGGCCTTAATCGTTCAGTTATCTACACACTTTTATTTGGGGAGACTGAAATTAGAGCTATCGCAAAGAACAAAGCAAATGGAAAAGAATATCATACCACTTTCGAATTAGAGCTAAAGGTTAAAAGTTTAGATAATAGTTTGAGCAACACTGCTTCTGGAAATATGAATTGTAATTCATTCCAATATTTATCTATTTTTTTGGGAATTTTTTCTGAAATATATGATTTAACTAAATCTATTTTATTTTTAGCTTATTGAGGTTTGTAATAATTACAAACAATACTATATGTACAACTTGATAGTTAGATAGCTTAATGAAGAAAGTAAGTTGATAGCTTTATAAATAGGTTCTAGCAACTACATTATAGCTTCAATATTATTCCAGTTTTAATTTGTCAAATTTAGATGTTTAAGTTATAGTATTGAAGCAATTAATATATCTGTTATTTCTTAGATTTTATATAATTTGTTTAATATTAATAATTAAGTATAATGAATTCCATCTTGTTTCACAGTCTAGTTCGAGTACTAAAAATAGTTTATTTTTTATTGTATAAATTTTTTTAATTTTTCTAAATATAGCTAAAAGTATTAAATATGACTTGCGAATTCATATACTTTTTTTATTAATTTATTAATTTTAGAAAGACTATTCACAACAGTAAGATTAAGTATATAAGCAATATATTGTAATTAGTAAATAGTTGTATTTCCATAATAAAATTCTAATATATTAGCAAGATATTAGCTACAAATATCTATATTATAAGTATTATTAGCAGTTGCTGACAAAAGTTTTTTTCTAAAGCCAAAGTCTTCTATTAATTTAAAAATCATATCTGCTAGGTAAATACCTGTATATTGTTCATAAAGAGGAATAAAGTTAAAAAGTATATACTACAACTGCTAACTGTCATTAATCTAATATAAAATAACTGCAAGAAATGTCTAGTTCATATATGCAGATTATGTATTAGTTGTTATTAAAAATTTTTTTTTATTGTTACAACAAAGTTTTAATACTATTTAATTTTTATTAGATTATTTATAAGTTTATATTAGTTAGTAAGAATATAATTAGTTATATGTACAACTTTAATTATTATTTATTTAAAGGTTCTGTCTGAAGGTTATCTACTAATTACTATATCTAGTACCTATTTGTAGCTACTCTATTTAAACTCTCTGATACCTTATCATCTCTAATATTAATTTAATTTTATTCTTAAACCTGTATAATCTTGAGCTACTTTAATAAAGACTGCTCAGACTAGCTTGTACCTCAGATTCTCTTATTAGGAAGGATTTTATCTTAAAGTACCCTATTATCCTTATTAGAAGAGGTCTGCAGAACACTCTAACTATACTATGCTCTATTCTATTTTAAACTAGATATACCCTTACAGATGTTCATATAAACCTAGTTCTTACTATAGTTCTCTACTAGATTAGTCTTCTATATTTTTCTAGATATTTCATAAGACAAATCCTTCCAAATCTAGTTAGCTACTAAGCCAAGTTGGTATTGCTACTAATATAAGATACTAGGCTATATTATATAGTAAACTTATTTACACCTACTTGATCTATATCTTTTATATACAAGTTTTTTTTTTTAGATCTAGTATTAACTAGTATAACTATTAAAATCTGTACTACTTTATCTAATTTGAGATTTCTACTATACAGGTCCTCTGTTTATAGATCTTATTAAGATTTATTCATACAATATTATATTATACTTTTAATATCTAATTAATATTAATACAATATAATTTATAAGGTTATAACTTCTAAAAACAAACAAGGCTTACTATAAGTTAGATACAAAGATTCAGATATTATTCAAATTTATTAACAATAAGATTTGAGCTTCAGACTTCTTATATGATAATCTGATAATCTAACTACTATACTAAAATTACTAGACCTTATATATAATCTTTAAATTCTAATATCTCAATAAGTTTTAATAATTTTATTATTAATAAAATTATAAAAATCTATTTTATAACTTTATTTAAAAGTATAAAATAAATTTAATTAATAAATTATTTTAAATTTTAAATTATAAAAAATATTTTTTATTAAATTTATATATAATTTTAAAATAGAATATAACTAATTTTAACTACTGGTTAAACTACTAGTTAATTAACCACCCTATTATTATAAAAGTTTTTTTATATATGTAAACTATTTTTTAAGATTAGAGTTAGGGTGAGGCCTATATTAGAGTTAGGATATGTATTTATATGCAAAATTAGATGCTGAAAACTTTTACTTAAAAGCCCAAAGCTAGTTTTTATAATAAAATTTTGAGATATTTACAATTTTTAATATTTTTCTTAAATTTTATACATTTTTGTTACACAAGATCCTGTGATATAATTGGTGAATTATATAAGATGGTTAATTCACCATAGAGGCAAGTTAGCAATATTTTTGTATTTATTATATTTATTATATTTATGTAATTTATATAATTTACGCAACTTATATGATTTATTAGATATATGTAATTTATTAGATATTTATGATTTATTAGATATATTACTTTTATAATATTTATGTAATAAATTAGATAAATTGCATTTGAATATTATATTATAAATAAAAGCTGCATAGGCTTATAGAGGAAAATAACTTCCAAGTTTGCTTATATAAACAATAGAGTTCTTTATTAAATAATTCCTACTACCTAACCTATACTTTCTTTAATTACTCTTCCTAATATTCTACTAAGTAGCATAGTAGAGTTATGTCTCATTTAACTGATAGCTATTTTATAGAAAATAAAAAATTAGCTAGCACTAACCTAATTCTAACTCTAAATCAAGCTAATATGTCAGTGAAATGATCTGTTGATAAAATGACTTTCAAAAGGTTGAGTTACAATAGCATAGTAGAATTATCTTTGTGAAGTCAAATAAATTTATAATTATTATATCCTCTTAAAATGATAATTAAGCTATCTCATAGTAGTAGGAAATATGACCTAAGCTTTAGAATATCTGCCTAATAATAGCTCTTGAAACTCGAAGTTTTCGAGAGCATCGATATCGAAACTATATCGAAACTAGTTTCGACAAAATTTTATTTTCGAAAACTTTTCGAAACTCGAAACTCATATCGAAACTCAAAACTTGTATCGAAACTTGAAACTTGTATCAAAACTCAAAACTCATATCAGAACTCGAAACTTATATCAGAACTCGAAACTCATATCTAAACTCAAAAGTCGGGGACATAACCCTGTGATCTATATGACGTCATTTTGTTTACAAGCACTAACAAAATCAGGCTAAATTATATTCTAACTCTAGGTCTAAACCCAACCTTAATAGGTTACAATAAATATTTTAATAAAAATAAAATACTTTATTGCAATAAATAAATGTTTTAATAAAAATGAAATACTTTATCGAAGTAAATATTTTTTTAAAATGAAATACTTTATCGAAGTAAATATTTTTTTTAATTTTAATAAAACCATAACTCCAAATTTGATATTTAAACCCCCTTGAAATTAAAAGATTTTTGAACTTTGAGCAAAAATATCTCAACAACCATCTTATCAAAATTGATAAAAAAATTTTTGTTTGAATTCTATATATTGAAACCAGGACCAGTGGTGAGTCAGTTACTTGATATTCCAAATTATTCATATAACCTATAGTTGGCTTTACTGAAAAGAGGCGTGTTAGGTTTGGCAAGTTGGTTGGTTCTGTAAGTAGGTCTTTCTATTATCTGGGTACTTTATAATCTTACTTTAACTTCAGCTATACCACACTACTTCAGGTAAGCTGGACAAATTAACCACAGTTGCACCAAGTACGTTAGGTTAACAACTGGACAGGTATCGAATTTAACAAGGGGGTCATATGAACAGGGTTTAGAGAAAGAGAGACAAAGTTTATCACTATGCCACTTAGTAACAGACTGGAGTTAGGTAGTTTAACGAATTTATTATTTATTGATGAACAATTATTATACGTAAAGAGTTAAGTAATTATTTTATTAAAGCGAAGAGGGAAACTTGTCTCTTAACTAGGGCCACTTCGGCCTTTATTTATAATAAAAGTTTTCTATATGTATGTTTGTTCTCTATGTCTATGACTATAATTATCCTAATAACTATGATAACTGTTATTACCTTAGTGACCATTATAATTCTTATG